ACAAGTAGTGCTGTATTTAGTAAAAGAAGACAAGGTCTTGCCCCTGTATATATAGTAAATTACTTCTTATGACATGTAGTCAGAATCCATGTTTTATGGGACCTTGATACTAAAAAATCGATGGACGGCAAAACTTCATTTTGCCATCACGTATAGCTCATAAACCGTTTTGACAATTTCCTCCAAAATTTATAAATCAGATTTGACTGAGGGCCTCATGTATTTGAAACTGATGTTTTAATTGTATTGGAGGGGGGGTGTACATTGTATGAAGTCTCTAGTATATTCTCAAAAACAACTTAGTATATTATTGTATAGTATTTGTAGGAAGACACCGGGGGGGGGGGATACAACTCTTGCAGTTTTTTTTAAATGTGGTATTTTAATGAAAATTAGACCAGCACCATTCTTTTAAGCATTCTTTACACTATTCAAGGAAAAAGTTGAATCAAAAAATATGGTACTGCCTTCTTAGAAAATTTTGGAAAATGTAATTGAGGTTTTGTATAAATTACCTCCAAAATTGAAATGTTTCAAACTCAAAGAGCCTTGTGTTCTTTTAAATCGATTAGGGAACATTAAGTTTGGAGAAAACCGTCTGAACTTTTAGCAACTAGTGTTGACCACACAGACACAGTTTGGCATCAATTGATTTTTTTGGTATCAAGGTGTCTTAGAACATGGACAAAAATTGAATTAAAACTGGCAAATTAAACCTTTCAAGTGCCAATTCTGACATTGGCATTGCACATTTCCATATTTGAACATGCAATAAAATGCATGGTATTTTTTTGTTGGTATTGTGGACGTATGATTTAGGTAGTGAGGGGAGTGGGAGGGCTACTTTTTTTTTCAGGGGACATATGATTAATTTCTTTTATTTATTTAATGTCCCATCAACTACAAAAGGTTATTAGTGACATTACACATTAACATTGTTATTTCTGTACATGGAATGTTGACACTTAGGATGGGAACATTGATATCACATTATTAACCAATTTATGCATTTTCTTATTTATCACTGTATAAGTTTATGTCCTTCAAAAAATTGATAAACGGACTGCGTTGTTCTGTCCTTTAGTACTCTTTACATATTATTGATACCCTGTCTCGTCTGGTCGTCTTCAAACCTAGGGCACGAAAATAGATGATTAATATACATATAAACATTACACTTAACAACCGTTTTCCTGGTGAACAGATGGGCAGGTGTGAGCTTGGTGTGGCCTGTTATGCATCTTGTTAACACAACTTTGTCAGCTCTGCAGAAGGATGTAACTGTGTTTTATTCATTGCATTCGAATATACTTCTTTTCTTGTTTCTAATTGTAAACTTTAATCAAATTGTTTTTCTAAAATAACAAAGTTTTTAAATAGTTCGTACACCAATAAAGGACAACCGTATTTTTCTCTTTCAGAAAGTTTTTTTTGCGAAATATTGTCATCGGTGGTCTTGGTGAGATAAACGTGTCTGCAGGCTGGCAATTATGAGTGTTGTGTTAATATGCAGCTCAAGTGCAAATGTGATAATTATACATTTCTATTATCAAAGAGAGATTATTGAATCAGAACTTGAATTATTTTTTTATTTCCTTGTTTACTTTTAGCATTGCACCATTACATGATTTTTCATAAACGCACCTGAACTGGTGGACAGGTAGCGAAGTCCAGTACCTGAATCCAGGAGGAGAGCTATTCTCCACGGAAATACTATGATCAACATTAAGGTTTTCATTCTTAGGAGTTTTACTATTCTGATTAAAGGTAAAATGTAAATTGTAAGAAAATTTGATATATTTGATTGACAGATACAATTTATTTTAAATTGGTACTTAAAAACCAGGGGTGTATTTTATTAAAATACATATGTGGATAGAGACATGAATATTTATGTGCTGTGTCTAAAAGATGCTGTTTAGTTACATAGATGCACATAAATTGAGATGTAAGTTGCATGTACTCATAAGTCAAATAAATAATATGAACAATTTTCAAGACTTTTTAAATCCCACACCAAAATTCAGTTTTCAATGTAATTCCCCAATTCATTTTTATTTTTTTCATATGCTTCCAGCTTAGAAATCCTTGCTTCAAATATACTGCCCAACTCGTGGGCAATAATTCAGAGTAGTTGCCTTTGCCTCAACTTAGATATGTTGAATCTTGGCCACACCATTTGTGCTGTTTTTCCTACTCTACCATACCTTGTTCTCTGGGGCAAATTAATAGAAGAAAATAAGGAAACTAAAGTCTTATAAAGAAATTTGTTCCTTGAATTGTGTGCAAACATTGCAACAAGTGGAGGTTTAATTTTACAATCCTTTCATAGGTTTTGTCCAGGAAAGCAACTTCCTGGCTTGGGCCAGTGGGCACTATAATTTCTTTTTTGCCGGAGTGGAAAATTGTAAATCATGTGATTGAACGATAATTGGGGATACAATTTAGAATACCTTTTTTTTTACCCGTATTGAACTACTGTAAGATCATGTAAGATTTTTATTTTAAATGTATTTAATGAATACAAGAATAGTATTTTTTTATTGCTATTTGAGCTGATTTTTTTTTAATAGGCGTGCAAATAGCGGAATACATGTTACCTGATGATCAATTTAAAAGCAACCTTGGTGTTCGAGGTCCTGAGCGAAAAATAAAAGAATTGCAACCCTGCTTCTGGGATGGTTCCTTTCCTGTGATTTTCTGTGACACCTCTTTCACTTGCTCTATTCCTGTGGTCTGCATCATAGTTTTTCAAACCAAAACAGGCCCCGCCTTCATTCAGTGATTGAAGTTAACAAACAAGGCAACTCCTTTATGGTGGAGGAGCATTGGCGTAACTACTACTGGCCCGGCGGTGCAATTAGTATGGCCACCGGATACACGGGGCCAAAGCCCCCTTTTTTTTTTTGCAGCTGAACATCTTCAAAAGGTTCTCTTCAGGAAATGCGGGTTTATTTATTACCACAAATCGACTGTTGAAAGTTTGAATCATGGTGGAAAGATATTGTTTCAATTGTGTATTATATTTTGAGAACGCGTACATGTTTTCCGAATTTGTAAATTGATATTCCGGGGCCCCTATTATGTATTAATATTTATTGAGTCATATATACAATTTCAATCGTGTATGTCGAGTCAATATGATGTCTTGAGTGGAGAGAGCAAAGTTACATTACTGTTCAGGTGCAAACAAGGGGCCATCTCAGCATTTGCTCAAGAGACCAAGGAAACTGAACAAAACCTGATCGAGATAGGGTCATTGCCCTAAAAATTATACTACAATACTTGTTACTGTCCGGGTCTCAATTTTCCGACCGCCGGAGAGGGGATATAGACTCTGGAGGGGTCCTAGTTTCCGCGCGGGGCGAGCGGCACGGTAGGAGGGGATGACTCGCTGCACCCACAGTCACGTGACATAATCGCAACCGTTCCAAGAACATCGGAGCGGCTAGTTCGCTTGTGGCAGGACCCGAGTGTTAACGTGTGAAAACCATTAATTTCTCATCTTGGCAAAGAGAGTTACTAATACAATACACAGTGAGTCGCGAAATCATTGCCCGTGTGATTGAAATATGTGATAAGGAGAAAGAAGATAAATGTTTACATTTACCTTTAATGAAAGCGAGTGAAAGAGCCTCCGAATACACAGGAGTTGGACTCACCACCATCAAAGCCATTCGGAAAGAAAATAAAGAGGAATGAGAATAGCCCAAATCGGAAGCTGAAGTCTGGTAAGAGTGTGTCATGTGGCAATTCTGTCCATGTAGATAGTTTTGACCAGTATGTCATTCGAAATACGATTCTGGATTTCTACATGAGAGAAAAGGTAGTGCCGACAGTGCTAAAGCTTCTTCCAATTATTAAGGGCAACATTAATTTTCCTTGGGGTCCAAAATCTTTATTGCGGGTTATGAAATCAATGGGTTTTAAATGGAAAAGGTGCCAATCAAAGCGGCGGGTGCTGATAGAGAGGTCGAACATAGTGGATTGGAGATCCAGATCCATTGTTCAATTGAAACAATTTCGAGAAGAGAACCGAGATATCATCTATGTGGATGAGACATGGATTAATAACACTTAAATTTTAAAAGTTCTGGCAGAATGGTGGGACATGCAACAAGTAGACTAATTGTTCACGCAGGGGGGGGGGATGAATATTTGCGGCGCGTGTCTAATCTTTCGAGCTGGTAGTACTGTGGGAGACTACCACGGCCAAATGAATGGCATTAATTTTGAGAAATGGGTGCGTGAAAAATTATATCTACCAGAGCATGCTGTTGTCCTTGACAATGCTCCATACCACAGTATGAAAATCAACAAGACACCGTCCGCATACTCAAGAAAAGCTGATATGATTGTATGGCTTCAAAGAAAGAGAGTGCATTGTGAAGAAAGTATGCGTAAGACTGATTTGTACCGATTAATTGCACCTCTCAAACCACGCGCTAAGCAGTACAAGAATGATAAGTTGCTAGCAGTACACAGTTGTACGACTCCCCTCCTACATGTGTGAGATGAACCCAATTGAACTTGCTTGGGCGAAAGTAAAGCTACTGGATCTGTCATTCAGGAGACATTGTTCAAAATTTCTTACAAATATACGGATACCATATTTTGAGGGTAGAACTAAGACAAATAAGGAATTATCGTATGGTATTCCATGCATAATAGATTGTTCCTGCCTAGAAACAAGTGCTCAATGAACCATACACTCTCATAACAATATTTTTTATGTGGTCAGCGAATGAACATAGTATTCCAATTTGTAATGTAAAGTATTTAATCCAATAAAGTTGCTGTATTTGTAGGCCCATCCAATCATGTTACTGTTAAATATATAGAAGAAAATAAATATTTTTATTGCATAGTATTCCGAATTCTTTTGTAGTCCCATACATACATATACCCTTGATCCCAATTGTTCCTGGTATGCCAATATTGAAACATGTCTTCTCTGATTAACAAATTTCTACTCATGGTTAAGCCAAAGAATAACATGTTATTATGACTTACTCATACACATGTTTAAACAAGAAGCTCGGACTAAAATGAGTTAAAAGATACCCAACCCATTGGCACATGTCAATGAAGACTCCACAATTGCGCACGCCGAGATATTGGTACAAACCTGACAAAAGGTACGTTTTTTGCCAAATGTAATATTTTTTATTTCTTCACTATTTACAATCGGTATACAAAATTCCCTATTGTCTGTATTTAGAGCAAAAACATGGTTTGATTCTGAATATAGGTGTTGTGGTGTGATATCTTTGGCATTTATCATAAAATAATTAAAGACGTCATTGCCAACAATATTATTTAATGCAATAGCAGCTTTCGATGGCTTAGCCATCATCATCAGTTGTCTGCTGGGTGGAAGCCACAAAACGACTACCCTACTTTTTTTTGATTCTGAATGCCTTAAAGAGAGGCGAGCAGTACTCGAACTACTTAAGAAGGCCAAAACAGAACACACTACAAATGTACAACAAATGCGGCTTGGCAAGGAAAACATAAAAGACTCTCCTTAAGATAAAAAAAAAAGAAAATACATAAAAAAGTAGTCAATAAAGCTCACTGAAAATGACCCATTCATAGCCCTAAAGCAGAAAAAAAAAACCATTAATATTCTCGAACTGAATCGAAATGAACTCCTGGAAAAATAACTTCTCGAATATTCTCAACACGCAGAATACAAGTTGTGCATTTCAACAACTCGAAACTGTTAATGTGCAGTTCCCCGCTATCACCCGATCTGAAACCGCAAGAGCAGTTAGAAAACTAAAAACGACAAAGCAGCTGGTCTGGACACTATATTCAACGAACATATAAAATATTCAAAAAATTCCTAGAGGAATACTAGACAGATCTATTTAATAAATGCATCTTACTCGGAAGAATACCAGACAACTGGAGGCGCACAAAAAGTTATATATAAGGAAAAGGGAACATTGACGCATCGCGCTTGAAAACACTTTGTTTGAGCTGATCACAAAGATAATAAGCAGCAGACTATCGTTCGTCATGGACACAAGACTGACGGATGCAAAATTTGGATTCAGACCAGGTTACTCCACCTCACAGGCCATCGAAAACGTACTAAATGAAATTAAAAGATCGCTAAATAATACTAATGGAAGAATGTATGCAATCTTTCTGGACCTCACTAAAGAGTTTGATCTCTTCAACAGGGGAAAAACTTGTAAGTAAATTAGAAAGATATATCGGGGAAGGAGAATACCATAAAAGACATCCTCCACCTTAACTAGATTACTATAGACGACAATGTTGCAAAATCAATAGAAATCGCACAGACTTAACAGCGTCCTACAAGGAGACTACCACTACTCTTCAATAGTGCTCTCATAGATGTTGGCAGCATTATTGAGGATATAAATGGAGTCTCCCTGTACTTATGATATGAACATCAAACAATATCGATATACGGCAAGAATCCATGAACTACCTGTGTGAGTGGACAACGGAGAAGTGTGAAGTGCGAATGAATGGGAAGAATGAATGGTTATGTATATAATGAAACTAGTATGAATGATGTGTGAATGTAGAAAAAAAAAACAATTTACCAACTATATAAAATAATAATTACGTAGAATATATAAAATAGAACTAGAAAAATGATTTTAGTGTAAGTTAGTAATGCCAAAGTGCAATTAAGATAACTTTAGGTCTAGATTGTAAGTTAGTTGTAAGAAAAAGCCCCGCCTGTAGCTGCTTAAGCCGCAAGGCAGCAGCGTATTAAAAAATTCATAGAAAATAAATTCCCCTTCTTCACAGGGATACTGTGGAGGGGACAAAAGAAAGACAACGGAGAACGACCCGAGAGTAAACAGAGATTAATGATATTTCGAAAAGGAGGCAAAATAGCCGGAAATGAAACCATAGCAATAGGAAGTCAGGTACTAAAAAGTGTCTGCATATATTAATATCTAGGCATGACACTACAGACAACCGAATTGACCTTCAGTTGCCACG